AGATCACCTCACACCTTTAAAAAAAAAAAAAGCCATATGTACCCCATGTGAACTTAGTCAAGTTGAACTCAACCCCCTCCTCCAGATCATGATGTCCTCAGAAAAGGTGAGTTTTGATGACGATGACGACACCTTCCCTGTAAGTTTGCAGCACAGCTAAACAACCCTGTTGGTTCATGTTGCCAGTGTACTTGTCAAAAGGACAGGTGAGTGCTGGTGCACTGCTGTTTGTAGTAAACACTGAAAAGTCAGAGAAAGGAGAGGAACGTTCCAAAACAGAGCATGGGGGGCATTATGTCCCTGTGAAGCCTAAATGTCAATAGCAAAGTAATGAACATGAGAATTGTTCCTGGTTTTATGTGCACGGTCATACTAACCTTTGAGTTTAAATACTAATTCATGGATTTATCTATAGTATGTTTCAGTTTCTCAAATTAAAATGGCAGGACTTTTATTGTGTTGGAACCCAGTAACAGAAAACTAGAAACATATTTCCATCAGATCAAACACAACATAAAGGACTTTAGGTTTCAGAACGCTTTACAATATTTAACTTGGCTTTCATCAAAGAGTGCAGCAAATCTTAACTACTCCACCTCTGCAGGTCATTTCCTTCACCTGCAACTGGAGCAAATGAGAAATCCAGAGAGACTCCAACCTGATGACGGATTCTCTCTGACCTTCTTTTATGTAGGTCACCAGTGACTTCCTTAAGGGAGCTCTTTCAGGTGTGGCTCAGAGGGACCCGGCGTACAGCCCAAAAACTGAACCTGTGCCTCTGAAGAGCAGGTCATAAATCAACCTTCCTCCTCTGGTCTTACTGCCGATGTCACTGTCAATCTGCTACAACATATTGGCCTCCCTTCACTTAAATTGAGATTTATAATACTTTTACGATAAAGCCCAGCTGGACTTCAAACATAAGCTGCATTAAGGAGAGCAAATATGGCCGGGGCCTCCTGATCAATATAACAGGTGTCCCACCAGCCAGCTTAACAGGATCAGATAAATATGACAGACATGTAGTGTATAGCGCCAACTCAATCTGCTGTCATATTCCCATAATGTGAAGACTAAATCCATTTCACCTGGTGTGCTTCTGTTACTTATTCCAAATACTGCATCCAAGTCATGTCTGCAGTTAAGACATGTAAAAACTGTCATGGCTTTAAATGAATCCATGTGTTACCTGATAACAGCAGAATCTGTTACTTTCCTCTTTTGACTGTCTACAGCCAGCACTGAACATCTTATGGCTTCATGTCTATGAAAAAGAGTTGAATTAAGTCTAGACAATTAGATTATGTGTTATGAAAGAAGAGTAATACAAAAAAAAACCAAATGATTAGGTCAGAACAGAATTCTTTCATTTTACTATTAGAAAATTTGTTGTATTTTGATCTCTTTGTGAAGTATTTTGTGTCACATGCATGCAAAAATAACAACTCTAAAGATGGAAAACTAGAGTTTGGACTGGCATTGTTCTTCTGATTGCATAAGATCATTTTGTTCTTTATTTTGTCTCATGTCTCTTGAAACAATGTCCAAGCTGGTGTTGACTTTAAAACCACTACCTACCTCCTCAACTTTTTAAAGATCGCTGGCTGTTTCTGGGACCTACATAGCTGAATATTTATTACTCCTGACTGGTACTGTTCCCACCAGTTTACTGCCGTGGTTGAACATCTCCTAAATTTTTGTTTTTCCTTATCATAATTGAGGGTCTGGCGATAGAGGGTGCTGCATGCTGTACAGTTGCACTGCAATGTGTTTATGAGTTATTGACTTGGCTTGACAATGAATGGCTTTATGTTTTTCATTTCAAGCTGCATTACAGATGTGTTTGCGTATACAAGAGGTTTCACTGTTCTTTTTCAGATGACTCATAAAAAGCTAAAAAATGATGATGATGATGATGGTGATAAAATGAGAGGATGACATCATGGCAGCATTCTTGCTTCATATTTAATATGGCAGCATTCTCCGCATTCCATCGACAACAATAGATATTCTCGTGTCCGCTCTCTGACCAATCAACCTGTTTACACTTCCTTGTCAGAAGATCACGGTTCATCCGTGAGAATGAACCAGGCCAGAATGGTGAGAACAGGAACTGTGGCTTTCTCAAACAGCGTCCCACAAAATCCCCAAACAATTGAGAAGGCATCCGTCAAGCAGACGGAACAATCAGAAGTGGACCTGCAAGCCTGCGGTTTTTCTCCTTGAGGAGTACGAGGCAAAGGGGAAGTAGAGGAGACATGAGACGAGATGCCTTCTTCATTTTCCGTGACACCCACATACAAGCACATCAAAGCCTTTGGATGAAGACTGGAGTATGAACTAAAGTCTGGTCGCTCTAACCCTGCTGTGTTGCTGGAAAGCAAAGAGCTTTGATGCGACATCTTAATATATGCAGGGTCCCAGCTTGTGGTTTAGTGAATGGGTCCAAATAAGCATCGGTATGAGCAGCGCCAGAGCAGTTGGTTTGTTGTAGGCTCCAGTTGCTGCCTGGCATTGCACAAGAGTGTAATAATACAATGCTTTTTCAGCGAGGCATGTTATAAATAAAACCACAGAAAGCATCTGTTGACAGCGGCTCAGCTCTCCCTCAGCTCCTACACTGGAAATGTTGGTGACTGCATACACCGTGTTTTTAAAGTTTATAAACGGTGCTCTAACATTTGCTTGCTTTTGGTTTTTCCACACTTTTATTCAAATGAAGGATTCTAGACCACTTTACCCTCATCCATTTATATTTCCTTCTGACAAAACACATAGTTTTCTAAGAATGAAGAGGCCGTCAGGGTGAATCAATATGTGAGATGTGTGTCTAGGGCAAGCAGTATAATAAAAGCAGAGGCCATCTGACAGCATTATGATAAAGTATAGCCGGTGGTGTATGCTTTGTTTCAGCTGTGTGGAAAAGAACATACGGCTCACATGTCATTCACTTTTTTTCATAGTGGAGAGAGTTTTGTGTTATCAGCTGTGCTCACCTGTTAACCCTACCATAAATTGCAATTGTCACCCTTTTTATGGCAGTTTCATGGTAGCTGGACTGGAGACATATGGCTATAAAAAGAGATAAGCTGGGTAATATTCACCATTAGAAACCATTACTGGCAGGACAGGCGGTGTGATAATGAGGGCCAACCCTGAAATCTGCATTCACCCATCCAAGACAGGAGTGCCCTTAACCAACACCCAAAAGATTCTGTTTTCAGTCTGAGATTTCATTTGATTAAACTACAAAGAATCATAAACACTGTAAAGTCAACAAGTAACCGAATTAGTAGCTGAGGGCAAATAGACACAGAGAGGAGCCACACGGCATACGAGCCAACACCATTGTGTCTCTGTGGACCCATTGGAGACACAACAGGTGTGTCAATATGACAAGCATTCAACCGATCCACCGTGTCTGCCTCGCATAAACACTGAATAAATATAGATACTTTCCATTTTCACTCTCAGCCGTGCGCAGCTACCATTCGAAAAAACAACAGATGAAACGCAAACATTCAGAGATTGGGTAGAGTTCAAGGGAAATTCACCGATGGTAACGGCATTATTTTCTCTTCAGAAGCATTTGTGCATCAGCTTTCTAAGCATTGTGCCATCAGTTAATTCACAGACAGTAATGTGAGGAGGGAAAGCATGTCTGATAAAAAAACTTTTAGAGAACTGTTAGAGGCACTAGCTGTTTTTTTTTTCTAATCACAACAATCAGTCAACAGCACAATACCAATTGTGCAAAATGAATGGTTGTACTATTCTCTCACCCGGACAGATTGGTGTTATGAATACGACAAGTTTTCACATACAGACATTAAGGTATGATTCATAAAATAATTAACATGAATCATTTTAACATTATTAAAAGTTAATTGCACAGTTTATAACACTAATTTTAAAAAAGGACTGTAGCACTATTCAGTGTTTTGGTACTTAATCTCTTCAGTGACCTTATTATCATATTTCACAGGAGCCTCTTCATGTGGCATAGTTGTGGACAAATGGTGTTGCTGCATGATATTTCCAGTTTCTTACAACATGGGGAATAGCACGTCCCTCTGAATGTTATTACGGGATTACTGTAGTTTCTTCTCCATAAACGCACAACGTGATGCCAGAAAGAATTTAGATGAACAGGTTGGAGAAAATTGGCTTGTCCCCTCCGTGAACAGACGATACAAAACGGTGCGTCGGGCTGCCAGTCTCCCACCAGATGGTAAATGAGAGAGACACGGGCGATCGAGTAACAAATACAACCAATCAGATGATCAAAAACAAGCCATGCACATAGGGAAAAACTCTCAGGCAAAGCGACTGAATACAGTTCAAAGCCCTAACCACAGCATGTATGTCATTTCATGTGTTTATATTTAAAGCATTCATTTGATTTCTACTTTAATTTCTTTAGGGAGTATTTGGTTTCATCATATTCATTTGTGAGGGAAATTAAATTAATTAATTTAAGGGGATAGGCCAATTAATCATTTTGTGTGTTTTAGCAGCTAATATATCCTTCAATATTTAAGAGTGTGTAAAGTTATTTGTCGTCGTGACAAACTGATTCAGGGAGGGAGAAATTGTCCGTTTATTAGTCACTTCGCCGTCGTCAATTTCAGGCCATCAAATTAAATCTTTTATCTCAATCCTGGGAACCTCGCTGCGCCCGGGCACTGTGTCATTCCTATTAGCTGTTAAAGGCCACAGGGAAGAATAAACCAATTTTACGGATGCAGGTGATTTTGTGTGTGTGTGTGTGTGTGTGTGTGTGTGTGTGAGTGTGTGAGTGTGAGTGAGTGAGTGAGTGAGTG